GCACAGAGATTGTTAACAGTTTTTATGAAGAAGAAGAAAAAAGAGCGATAGTGATTGATTTGTTGAGTTGATGACAAAAAGAAGAAGAAAAATTGCAGCTTTTTTTTTCTGTAGATTTTATTTTTTCACATAGATTCGATTTTTGGTATAATCTGCACACAAATTCATGTAGCCGTTTACTGATGTAATTGACAACTACGCTCTTTCGTTAGTCACATAATTACCAAAATACCGTTTTTTCTTCTTCTTTTGGAGCAGCATAAAGATTTGGTCTTTTTGTCCTGTTTCGTGAATTGGGCATCTTTTGATTGTTGCAAAATCTTTCTCAAATTCTTGCTTTAAACTGAAAAAGTTGCTTTTTATTCTTTTCAAGACAGATGAACCATTATATAAAGAAAGACATGTGCTCCCTAAGCATTTCCAATAGACTTTCAAATATGCACATTATGAATACTAGTTTCCTGGTTCACAACCAAGCATTGAACTATTAAAGGCTTGAACTATCAACCCAATGGATCAACCTGTTCCAAATCCTTGTTCCAAAACAACATATGTTCCATATCATAACAAAATAACGCATTGAACTATTAAAGGCTTTGTTTGTAACAAGAGTAGCAAAGCTTTATCTATTATACACAACCTTGAAATAGATGTACATGATGATGGAAGAACGATCGGAAAAACTAAATCCTAAGCTCCTATCAACCACCTCAAATAGTTTCCTAAATATGTAATCACGTGCTATTATAACTTGGATTCCCTGATGCCGATTAAACCTACATGTGGTTCCTCTAGAGAAATAGATCGACATGATCCAGAATGACTATTTCTACACCTGGATGTGCCAATTATGTCAAAGTACATGAGAGCAAACTAAAAGATCCAAGAAAATTGGTAAATAGTAAGTGTCAGCAAGTATGAGTTCCATCTCAAATCTTGGATTAGTATTTCCATATAATTTCCGAACCTAAAGCACATAACTTTTACCCAGCTAGTTTATCTCCAGAATCTTAACCAAACAGAAAAACGAAAACCACTAGTTTCCAACTCCAAATGAAAGACTACGCTATAAATCTCATCTATTTATCCAATACTCTGTTTCTTATATCCTAAGGTAAACCATTGGTGAAGTGAAACTATATAGTTTTTTTTATTTTACTAATCTAGAGAAGAACATAAGCAAGACACAACATTCACTCAATAGCATCAGCACGTACCCAGCTCGGAATCTGCCTATCGTAAAACGAAGAATCACCAGAGACATTCATATCGTATCACGGAGGCTTATGAACATAAACCAATAAGTACTTCTCATTTTCTTTGAAGAACGTTTCCCATAATGGAAGCATCGGCAATGGCCCTCTCGTTAAGAACATAAAAGCCACCTTTGGAACCCTCTCGTAAGGATACGGCTCCTTCACCGGAACCATCGAAGCTCTCCAGAAGAGCTTTTCGTCACTCATTTCATGGCTTAGATTCTCTGGCCGAACAAACCCATCAATGCTCCAGCAATCACCATCCTCCACCGTCTTCATCGTTCTCGTCGTCAGCTCTGTAATTTCGGTGGATGATTGTGCAATTGGAGTAATCAGAATTCGAAAACAGAATCGTTTGGAGATTGGTTGTTGTTGAGAAAATCCTCGGCAAGGAATTGACGAATTGTTTGAAGATCGATGTGTGAGCTTGCGACGAGTCCGATGATCATTTCGGCCATGAATATGAGCAAAAACGATAGCATTTGACCGTGGACATAATCATCATTAGACATATTATTTCACCTATTTTTTAAGAGAAATGTGTAGAAAAGTCATAGAAAAGTAGTTTATACTGCAACAATGTCATAGAATCAGAAGTGTGTACAAAATTATCATAAATGAGTGGTAAAAATATATTATTGACCCTAAAACA